ACACCCTAAATTTATCTAATATTATACACATTTTGATTGATTTATTTTTATTGAGTAGATAATTCATCGACGATAACATCAATATACTCATCCATGTTAACACCAAAACATCAAATATATTCACGCACTGGTTGTGATCTCTTAAATTACTATTATGAAGCCATAAAAATAAACACTAATGAAAGCCTATATTACAATCTTAGTATCAACAGTAGTATTGATACATATAGCTACATCTACAGAGAGAATTTCTATCCATTCAGTCCATCTATAAATCTAATGATGGATATTCACTACCGTTTCACCAGTGTTCAATCTGCAATCAGAGTTCTTTTTCGCTCCGATACTAGAAATATATTGGTTGTGACAACATCTTATCCAAATATAACCGAAAAATTCTCCATCATTGTGTCTGGTTTGAATAACATCAATTTCGAACGTATAAGTGAGTATCTATACTATTTGTAAAAAACGGTTGAAATTCTTGAGAGTGAGGGTAAAATTATGACAACACCAAAACCCTCAAGATATAAACTGTTTACATCATCTAGAACTTGATCAGTTTTGATTGACTTATTTTTTATCGAGCATAGATACTTCATCAGTTGTTCAATCAATCTACTCGTCGGCATTAACAAGCAATCATTCAATGTATTCTTTTAGTGATTGTGATATTTTAAATTACTATCATGAAGCCATACAAGTTAATATAAATGAGAGTGGTTATTATACTTTTGCTAGTAACAGCAGTAACACTACATATACCAAAATGTACAAAGATAATTTCGATCCGCTCAAGCCATCAATGAATTCAATCTCCAAAGATGATGATAGATGCAATCCCCATCAATTCAGAATCGCAGTTTATCTCGAGGTTAATATTACATATATATTGGTTGTGACAACATATTATCCATATGTAACAGGACCGTTCTTAATCATTGCATCTGGCTTACACAATGTCATTCTCGAACGTCTAAGTAAGTATCGATACTATTTCTGAAAATTAGTGGCTCTTGAGGAGTGTGGATGTGAGTCTGGGTCCGAATGAGGGAATATCTAATCTGGGCTCACACTCACACCCTTATTTTTATTAATTAGATAGTTCATCAATTATTCGATCAAAATATTCATCAGAATTAACTGCAGATAGTCAGATATATGCTCGAACTCTTTGTATCAAAGCACAGTATTATTATGAAGCTATACAAGTTAATGTGATCAAAGATGGATCCTATACTATTTTAAGCAAGAGTCGTATCGACACATACGGCTATATCTACAAGAACAGTTTCAATCCATTCAATGCTCTTGTAAACTTAATGGCGTACAATGATCACAGCTGCGCTAATGATCAATTCAGACTCACAGTCAATCTTGAGGTCGGTATTAAATACATATTAGTGGTGACAACAGAAGCAGCAGGCAACACAGGAGCATTTGAAATCATCGTATCTGGACCAACGAACGCCAGTTTGGAACGTATTAGTGAGTACTCATACTATTTTGTCATTGTTTTAAAACAAGTACCAAACAGAAAACATATAACTATGTACTTTATTTAAAATTTAGATGACAGAAAGTATTTTTATTGAACTTTGCTAGAGTAATACCGGGTGTGGGCGAAAGTGTAAATGAGGGTAATAGAGCACATAACTTGTTTACACCAAAACCCACACCCTTAAAAGTTTTTAATTTTTTTTTTCATTTCCATAGACAAAACTCATGATAAATGTGTTATCGGTGGTCCATGCAATAGTCAAGTTAAAGGTATTGGTTTAACTCTTGATGATATTTTACGTTATGAAATCAATTCAACGATGACATTATATAATCAACCATTAACAGTAAAAATAAGTGTTGCCTTAACAATGATTATGTTTGTTTTGGGTTTAATTAATGGTATTCTCTCTATTTTCACATTTCAAAATGAAAGTTTACGAAAAGTTGGATGTGGAATATATCTCTTAGCGTCTTCAATAACTTCTCTTCTTACAATTTCAATGTTTACAATTAAGTCTTGGTTTGTTATTCTTACTCAAATGAATTCATCAATTTCTCTATCTGTTCTTCGAGGTGGTTGTATTTCTATTGAACCTCTATTGAAAACTTTTCTTTATTTTGATACATGGCTTAATGCTTGTGTTGCTATTGAACGAGCAATGCACGTTTATAAAGGAGTTAATTTTAATAAAGAAAAAAGCAAATGTTGTGCTCTACGAATTATATTTATATTACCATTTTTCATCACAGCTACAGTCATTCATGAACCTTTACATCGTGATATCTTCGAGTATAACGTAACAACCAGCAAGGATCCAACAAAGATAATAGAAAGATATACTTGGTGTGTAGTAAAATATTCTCATTCAGTTCAAGACTTCAATACAGCTGTTCTTTTCATTCATCTTATTGGTCCATTTATTGCTAATCTCTTTTCTGCTTTATTTATTATCTTTGGTACCGCCCGACGACGATCACTAGCTCAAACTAATCAAAGTTACACGGAACATATTCGTAAACAATTACATGAACATAAACAATTATTGGTGAGTCCAGCAATATTACTCATTTTATCAATGCCACGTTTAATTATTTCATTATTATCTGGATGTGTGATTGTATCTGATAATATTTGGTTATATCTTAGTGCTTATTTTATTTCATTTATTCCATCAATACTTATCTTCATTATCTTTGTTATTCCATCCAAATTGTACAGAAAAGCATTTAAAGATTCGTTCAAAACTTGGCAACGACGAACTCGCAATTGGATAAATTCTTGACTTATTTTTAAATTAATTTTGAACTTTCAAAACATAAATCTAATGATAAAATATTTTCGTTGTATTATTCATATGCACATCCTTACTATTCTCTGGTTTCTATTGCACATAACTTCATGATTATTCGAGGGTGTGGGTGAGTGTGAGCGTAGATAATTATTGAACCATCTTGCGATGTGGATGTGGGTGAAAAAAAGATGCTACACTACTTTCAAGAATTTAGAATGTCTTATGGTAGAGGACACACTCTTTTGGTTTATTCCTTCTTCGGTGGGTGTAGATGTGGTTGTCCATAAGATATTGCTATAATATTATTGCACCTGCACCCACACCCACCCTATAGTCAATTTGGCTTTGTTACTCAGAAAATTGGATTTATCAGGAAGTTTTAGATGTGAATATAGTATCTCTTCGAGAGTCAAGTATCTTAGATAGGTTGAAAAATAAATGGTTTCAATTAAACTATTGCTCTCACGCATCTGAGACATCTGATGACGCATCAATCGTAACAATGGCTGGTTTATTTATTATCTTTGGAGTTATTAGTATTCTAGCACTTTTAGTCTTCATAATATGGCTTAGTTCAATCATTATAATACCTCATTTGTCAGCACATGCCGAAAAAATTCCTGTTTACACACGCCCAACTCCCATTCAATGTTACATTGTGCCAACTTCTTCCGAGGACTCGATTTCTCAAATATATACCAAGTTTTAACGTACTTTTGAACATTTAGAACAATCATCTTACATAGTTTAGGTTTTAAGCGCAGTAGTTAATTAGTGCTTTAGTAATTCAAAAAGTAAAATAAAATAAAGAATCATATCTGTTGTTTCATTAAGGTGGAAAATCTTTCTATATGTATTACTGATTTGACGTTTTCTACAATGCGCTATATGAAATTTCTTTAAAAATATAAGAACAAAATGATCTAGTGCGTAATAAAACATGGTAGTTTCAAAATAACACATTGACAAACGAAGTTGTTTTTATCTCATCTTGAGGGTGTGGGTGTAGGTAGGTCGAAAGAAAAATTACTTTCATACATATTCTCCCTCATACCTACCCACACCCACCCTCAAGATGTTACATCAAACAGAATTTCTATGAAAGAATACGTTTTAAACAATGTACAGCTTTTCCAAATATGTTTTATTGTCTAAAATAAAATAAAAAATATTTTTATGTTTTTAGAGTTTTAGATTTGAAAATAGATCCATAAAATATGCTCATACATATGATGAACAATAAAAATAAAATGATAATAAGGGTGTGGGTGTTCCTATCTCTAACTCGTATTCACACCCACACCCACTCTTCTGGTTTAGGAATGGCTATGAAATTAAAAGAAAAGAATATGATTAAATTTTTGATATCAGAACGTCATTCACATCTTAGTGGTACATAATATGCGAATCAATATCCTGGGTGTACGTGTGGGTGCCTCTTCCTTATTCCAGCATCCCACACCCAAAAACTTTTACTCAAGAACACATTTAACATTAAACATAATCATCATTCATTTGTATTATTCTAGCCTAGAAAGTTATTCTTCTTTTTTTTGTATCAAAGTCATTATTTTTTACAACTTCGTTCAATTAATACTGGAACTTTATTTATTTTTACACATTAATAAACGTAAATAAACAATACAAAACTGAGTATCACAACATATTGATTTCTCAACGAACAATACTTACAACAATAAGAATCAATAGATTAATTTCACTATTGAAATTGTAAATAATATAGAATTATTGAGTACCAGTAATCAATCACATTTGTACTGTGCCTCGCACGATTTGATTGACAGGCGTCACTGTTTTTATTATTCGTAAGTTTAGAACAATATTTTTCAGTTGTGGTATAGAAAAAAGTAATGCTACACTTAATCCTGCTTCAGATACGCTAACAGGAAACGATGCAATTCGAGCAAGTAATGGATTCTCTTCACCTGTTATAATAAACATAAATATAAAAACCATTCCAGGTATTCCCAGAATAAGTAATAAATTAACAATAATTAGTATACGTCGAATAATAAGTAAATCTCGAGATTGTCTTTGTTTTATTACTAATATTTGAATATTTCCTTGTTGATGAATAAATCTTGTTATACGTATATAAATAAATAATATACAACAAAATGGACATATATAAACAATAACGGCTGTCGAAAGAATACCAGGAATATTTGTAAATGTTGGATTACAAAAGTAATCGTTTGGTAAATATGTTACACCATTCAAAGGTAGAAGAACACAGAGAAGAATAGGTGTTATTATTATTATTTCTATAATAGGTAAAATTATATATAATTTTAAAGACTGAAGCCGTCTATTTTGAGAATAAACAACTCGAATAAGACGATAGAATGCCTAGAATTATTCAGAAAAGAATATAGAAATTTTTTTAATTTCTATTATTTCAAATTACCTGATTTACAAAAGTCATGTATAACATAAAAGTCATTACAAGTGATAAATATCCTGAAAAAATACACCACGATGAATCGAAAGATTGGTTATACAAATCACCAAGTATTGATCGAATATTCATTGATGATAACAGTGGTGCATATATTAAAATTGTTAAATATATATGACTACAAAGAACAACAGTTATTTTGTCTTCACGTTTAACATGATTATAATAAAGATGGTATACAATAATAAGAAAAACTATACATGATATCAAACATGCAAATGTATTAAAGCCAAGAGAAACCGAACTAAGTATAAAACCATTGATTTTAGTTTGATTATTAATCATAATACAAGTTTGTATTGAATTCAGTTATATATTTGCAGTGTCTAATATATATATAAATTCAATTAATAAAATGGGTAAAATGTTTGAATAAACAACATAAATGTCTATAGAAAAAACCTTATACGTAGACTTTAATTCTAGTATATTGAAAATATTGTTAAATAAGAGTAGTCGGATTATCTGTTATTACTAAAGATTTGTTTTTCTGTCAACTGAGATTAAAAGAAAAATAATTATTTGTTAAAAATTCATTAGTTTAAATGTTTTTTCTTAATCTATACTGTCGAAAGAAGTTCGATCTAAACTCTATTGATATTCAAAAATATATTTTATTTTAGTCAGTCGTATATCTTAAGAGAATAGAATATTCTTACCTTTACAATTAATATAAAGTGTCATTTCTATCATACTTTATGGTGAAAGAGTATAAAGAGTTTATTCTTCTCGTCAATAAACGACATACTTGTGCTATTTTAGAGCATCAGTATGAAGAAAAAAAAGTCTATAATAAGAACTAATTAAGGTTGCTATTCTTTATTAGTGACATAGCAATTACTTTCTGCTTGTGTAAATTTGTCTAATTATGATTTGAAATAAACTACAAATACGTAATCATATCTCGAAATATCCGATTTTATATTTTAATTTGGAGCGTTTTCTACTATATTGCTAGTCTATGTAAACTTCTTTCTTATTCATACAATAACTGACTGTCGCCTATTATATCTTCAAGAAAATATTTATATTATTCTTTGATATAATATTATACACATGTTATATAAAAACAGTTTATTTTCAAATTTATTCTTTGAAAAAAATTTTTATAATGAAATTCATAATACGAAAGATAAGATTATAAATACCTTGTAGAAGATTAATCATTTATATTTATTAAAAAATATTAAATACAGAAAGTACTCGTTTGAATACAAAAAGTGAATAAAGGTTACAAAGATATTTGTTGACTATTCTATAATAATATGAATTGTACTTGCAACCTCTTAGACTAATTAAAAAAAGAATTAATGATCTGTTTGTTCAAGTTGTCATACAATAAGATACAAAAATGTTTGCCCTGAGCATAAATCAACTTTCTACAAAGTAGGATAATATCTACATATAGTTAGGGTGTGGGTGTGGGTATGGGTGTGGATGTAAGTGTTATCTTTCGTTCTCACCCACACCTACCCTCAAGATGTGTCAAATCCCACTTCAGTTTTCTCTCAGCACAGTTTATAATATAATTTTACTTTATATAATTTTCATGAATGGTATTATGTTTATTTATTCTTAATTAGTTCGATAGTTTAAACAAATGAATAAACATGTAACACCAGTAAATACTTTATTATGTATACAAAGAGAATTAAAAATGATACATCGAATATTTATACTTCTATCAATTTCGGTTTAACTTATGCTATCTTCATATTCATGAGTTTCTTTACTCAACCACCAAAATATCATTTTCGTATTGCTTATATATTTATTTTAATCACTTTATATAAATTTACAGATCCCATTAAAACATCTATGATGAAAATAATAAATCAGTGGTACGCATGGAGAATAAATAAAACATTGGCATACTCTATCCTCTAATATATGAAATATTTGTTTCTGTATTTTGAATATATACATTTCTTTTCTCTTATTGACACTCCATCTTCATTTCACTTGTTACTGCAGATAAAAGCGAATATTACTGTGTCAACGAGAAACTCCAGGTTATCAACAATAAATTGCATAGTATATCTTATCAGTTTCATAAAAATGAAACACTAAATAATAAAAAAGGTGTAAATGCATCTCTCTCATTCTCTGTTGTCCAAGGCTATATCGACTTTGAAATAAGCTCGATATATGATGTCGTATAAATCAGATAAGGTAAAAACGTTTCTATAAATTGTCAGTCACTGTAAAATCTAGATCAATTATCAACAATTTTTGATCTACATTTGATTGAATTGGATACTCTTCCAAAAATAGAAATTTCAACATTAAAACGTAAATTAAATGCAAGATTTTCATAATTTCTTTTTTTTCTTCTGAAATAAGTTATTAATCAATCTGAAAATTATAAAATTACAGATTTTAAATTTCCAATGCATTACTTTACTTCGTTTCTTCTTATTATTCAAATCTTCTTTTCGCCTTTTGTTGTGTCTTCACCATTACCTTCAATTGATTCACAATCCGTCTATGCAATCTATACTTTATCTTATAATGACACTCAATCAACAATCATCTATATTAATATTCAATTTCCAACAAATGAAAATACTTTACTTCCTTTAAATCGTACATTAACATTCATAATGCCACGTTCTATTCCATCTGGTTATAATTTACAAATGTATGATTCATATGTAGAAAATCTAACGGCTCGTAGTTTAAATGGAAATCCTATTATTGTCGAAAAAGAATCAACGGATAGTCCAAGATGGATAGTAAAATGTTCTTCGTCTGAAATATTATCAACAATTTCCTATGCAATTGATTTAGCTAAACAAGAAAAGGATATATTAAGTGCTGGTGATGCATCAAAAATACGTCGAGATCGTTATATAGGTATATTAGGTTATTCTGTTTATGGTTACTTAGAACAAATGGATAGGGTAGAAAATTTTCCAATAGAAATAATCGTTTATGGTCCATCTGAATGGCCAATTCATTTAACATTACCATCTAGTGATACATTAACGAATGAACAAGTGTATGGTATGACTTCTGGAAGAGCTAAAAATTATTATCACTTAGCTGATTCACAAGTATATATGGGACCAAATATAAATATAAAATATATTTCAATTCCTTTGAATCAATTTTATCGAAAAAAATCAAAATCGTATACTAATACATCGTTATCGTTTTATGTTGTTCTCTATACAGAAGATTCTTATAATTTAGACTTTGATTTACTCGTTGGTTTAAGTTTTGAAGCAATGGAAAATCTATTAGTATATTATAATAGTACTCCATTTTTACGTTATACAGTTGGAGTGGAAATGCTTAAACCATTAGGTGAACAATATTCATATAGTTTTAGTATGGAACATTTAAATAGTTGTACAATTAGTATTGATTATGGTTCCGGTGTCAATATTAATAGTACAAAAACAAGATTAAGAACATTTCAATATAATATCGCACATCATATTCAACATGCTTGGTTACCGAAACGACTTTTTTCGAAATTCTACTATCCATATACATTTGAAGTAACACCAGTTATTGATACAATATGGTTTAATGAGGTATGTTGAAATAAGAAATTGAGTCATTTAATATATGTATAAATTCTTAGGGTTTTGGTCAATATATTGCTATGGATGCAATGGCTAATGTTCTACCGTTAAACGAATCTTATGATTATAGACAATATTTTATTGAAAATCGTTTTAAATTTTATTTTAACTTAGCACCATTATTTATCAAAGAAATGTCATTGGACTATTTATCTATGATTGGATCGACTCTATATTCGGTTGATTTTCGAACGGGTAGTTATTTATTTGCAAGTGGAGCTTTAATGGCTCAAGAAATCGATGAATTTATACAATTAAACACGCAAAAACAAAAGTATGAGAATAATTTAATATGCATATTTTCTTAGTTGTTGTTATTTCAGAAGTATTCGTGATGTTATTATTTATATGATGAAATGGTCAGAATCGAATGAATACATTTCTCCATTTACAATGAAACAATTTCCTAAATTTTTTATGGACGCGACTAATGTTGATGTGAATTCAATTTTAGACAAATGGTTAGAACCGAACTATTGTCATGATATGCCTAGTATTTCCAGTAAATCTTTATTTTCGTGCGTTCCTGCTATTGCTGTTATTTTTTGTTGCATGTTTTTCCATATAGTTGGGAATTTTTTATAAAAGAATACGATATTTTTATAATTAAATAAGAATAAATAGGGTGTGAGTGTGGGTCTGTTGCCTTTATTTTATATCTATACCCACACCCTCAAGATGGTATTTCCAAACTACTTATATTTAACTAACTTGAAACTCGGGATTGATAAATATTCTAGCTTGATTTTTTTCTCGTATACACAAATGAAATGGCACATGTTCACAAGTAAATCCTCTACCATCGTATTTGCAGTTGTATGTCGAATTTACTTTATATAGTCCAGCACCATTAAAAGCTGAACGCACTTCAATTAAACCATGTTCAATCGGAATACGTTTTTTATGAATTCCAATAATTCCCTCAAAAGTTGACGCAGAACAATGGTTAGTCGGAAATGATTCCAGCTTCCACACTCGATGCCAAACATCATAATTCATGACTGAGTCGGATAAGGTACGTAATGCCCAAAGATCATAATAGTCATTATATGATGTTGCTGTCATAACTGACCATTGGTTTGTGTCATACTTGAAATTTGAAAGAAAAGAAGAAACAGTTATTGAAAACCGATCTAAATCAACAATAAAAATGTAATCAGGTAGTAAAAGATGTGCTTTATCCATTAGCATATTTCGGCCATAAGCAAGTCGTTCAGAACGTTCTGAATATTGTTTTGCTAATCTACGATATGTATAAAGTTCTACGCGAGACCACTGACGAAGTCTTTTTACAGTTCTGTCTCTTGAATCACTTTCGAAAATAAGAATACGAGATGATGAATGAAAGAGATTAATGATTGGCTCCATATGACTTCGAAATTCATCAAGATTTCGTTCCACATTACGAGCACATCCTAGAACAACTAATCGAAGAGAATGAAGTTGACGAAGAACACTTTGATATGATGAATTCGATATTCGTTGAGGTAAATTTGATTGAGGATATTCCTGTTCGTAAAAGGAACGATTATCGAGCGGTATGTATGGATGACAAGGTGTGGTAGTAGTCAAAGTCGTATTGATTGTTCTGTTTGATGTTTTCATAAATGGAATTATATTCGCATATTTGTTTATGACAAAGAACATAATAAAAATGAGACAAGTCAGAGTTATGAAAAATAAGATGAATTTTAAATTGTTGTATTTCGGTTGACGTTTTACAAACATTATTCACGTTTGATTATAATTAATTTTTGATTTCTATAACAAAAATATAAAGAAGAAAGAAAAAGAACTATAATATATATATCAAAAGACTCTTCACTGCTAAGTATACGGGATTCATATATATATATGTACATGAAAAATTATTTAAAAGGAACAAATAGGATGTACTTTAATTTGGGGGTGTACAATAAATGGACGTCCTTTTTCTCAGTCATATAGTTAGTGTGAATATAAATGAAATATAATACTCACACCCATCCCATTTTGTAGAACATCTTAACATGAATCCTTTTTAAAAAAATTTAAGTCTGAATAAGTGATAGCTGGTGAAAATGTCACTAACATACTGAGAAAAGAAAAAAGATAGAGCAATCATGTATGTTGATACAAGAGAAGAAAAAAAACCGAATGACACGTATCGACAGCGATCAAATACAAAGAGTGTGTTTATAAAATTGAGAAAGAAAAAAAGAAATGAACGTCAAAATTCATCATATTTTACCCCTTCATTGACCAATACAAGACACGCTCATTTGTGTATGAATTGTCGTTATACATCATTGCTTTCAATATACACAAATTTTTAATAATAATATTTCTTTTTAATAATTTTTAGCTAACGAAGCAGTGAGTGTGTGGATGGGTCTGTTGTCTTTAACTAATATCCACACCATATATATTTTTCAAGGCTAAAAAACAACATTTGAATGTTCAAGTTATTTTTATCATCAAATATTTTGTTTATTTCTACTGTAATATTGTAAAGTATCATTTAAACCAAACTGAGAGTGGATGTGGATCTGGTTAAAGATAGCCACACCCTCAAGGATGTGAAAGTGACTTCTTTCTTTATCAACATTTTCATGACATCACTCACATCTTCAAATATACTTTCAGTCTTAGAATTAGTAGTAGTAGTTTATTTATTTTCAAAAGCAGAATTTTATAGATTGCACATAATTAATGTTTTTCTTTCGAACAGATCAGAAAAAAATAATTAAGCTTATGAAACTTTTCTATACTCTGTTACAGGTCCAAAACTAATGTTTTGAACTTTAAGTAATTGCAATATATATAGTTCTATGCGTACAGAAAAGTTCATAACTAGAAATGTTATTATTAAATAATGAATGACTGTTCAATATATGGATACTAATGCATTTGTCACTAGTATCCATAGTCGCAAAGTCTTGTTGAAGTTTTCAATGTCAAGAGAAACCTAAATAGTAGTTCGCATCGTATACTGTTTTATAAGATTAATATTTTTAATAGAGGTTATTCATTAATAAGTCTCAGCAATGTAAGAGAACACCGACATTGTTCGAACCTTGATTTGCAACAATAATATCAGGTTTGTTATCGCTATTCACATCGACGACTGCTATTGACCACGGTAAAAGACCAACTGAATAAGTTGCTGAAGTATTGAAGATACCATTGCCTACGTTGAGAAGAACACTGACTGTGTTCGAAGCAATGTTTGCAACAACAATATCGGGTTTATTGTCGCTATTCACATCAACAACTGATAATGCCCTTGGATCAACACCAACTAAGTAAGTCGCTGAATTATTAAAGGTACCATTGCCTACGTTGAGAAGAACACTGACTGTATTCAAACCTTGATTTGCAACAATAATATCAGGTTTGTTGTCACTATTCACATCGACGACTGCTATTGACCACGGTAAAAGACCAACTGAATAAGTTGCTGAAGTATTAAAAATACCATTGCCTACGTTGAGAAGAACACTGATTGTATTCGAAGCAATGTTTGCAACAACAATATCAGGTTGATTATCGCTATTCACATCGACAACTGCTAGCGATTGTGGGCTAATGCCAACTGAATAAGTTGCTAAAGTATTAAAGGTACCATTACCTAAGTTGCGAAGAACACTGACTGTATTCGAAGCTTGGTTTACCACAATAATATCAGGTTTGTTATCGCTATTCACATCGACGACTGCTACTGCCGACGGTAAAAGACCAACTGAATAAGTTGCTGAAGTATTGAAGGTACCATTGCCTACGTTGAGAAGAACGCCGACGGTATTCGAAGCAGTGTTTGCAACAATAATATCGGGTTTGTTATCGCTATTCACATCGGCAACTGCTACTGCCTGTGGACCAAAGCCAACTGAATAAGTCGCTGAATTATTAAAAGTAGCATTGCCTACGTTGAGAAGAACGCCGACATTATTCGAAAGAGTATTTGCAACAATAATATCAGGTTGATTATCGCTATTCACATCAACAACTACTACTGCCTGTGGATCAATGCCAACTGAGTATGTAGTTTGATTATAGAATAGGTTACAGGCTATCGGAAATAAAAAATATTTTTAGCATCTTGATTGATGTGGAAACAAAAATTCATCGTTGAATTGTATAGGATTTACATGCCGCTATCTCACTTAGCATTAAGGTGATTATGTGTTAAAAAACGACAACGACATAATGAACTGTTATATGTTTATAAAAAAAATCGATTTGGCAAATATTAGAACATTTTGTCTTCAGCTTCGTACACAAATACTAGTTTGCCTATGTATAAAGATCATTTTTTCATCTTGAGAAGTTTTCTGTTCAATAAACTCGTCTTATTTATTCGAATTTGAGATGATTCGTACTGTCAAATATTAAATTTTGAAATCTCATCAAAATATTTCTCTTCTCAACAACTGACGTAAGCACTAGGTATTCTATCCAATACTCACTACTTGCTGTTGTTGATGATGTTGTTGATGTTGTTGATGTTGAAGAAGTTGATGATGATGTTGTTTTTGATGTTGTTGAGGTTGATGTTGTTGTTGTTGATGCTGAGGTTGATGATGTTGTTGTTGAAGTTGAACTTGATGTTGATGAAGATGATGATGTTGTTGTTGTTGATGTTGAGGTTGATGATGTTGTTATTGAAGTTGAAGTTGAAGTTGAAGTTGATGATGATGATGATGTTGATGATGATGATGATGATGTTGATGATGTTGTTGATGTTGATGTTGAAGCTGTTGACGTTGATGATGTTGTTGTTGATATTGATGATGATGTTGTTTTTGATGTTGTTTTTGATGTTGTTGTGGATGTTGACGATGATGTAGATGATATTTCTGATGTTGATGATGGTGAGGTTGATAGTATTGTTGTTGGTGGTGATAATGACGTAATCGGTTCTGTATCAAGAAAATTGGGTTAATATGAGACAAGAAAATTGCATAAGGCTTTGTTAAAAATCTAGCACTTCTCGATTCACTAGTCTAGTTAATTTTTTGTGGATGACTCCATTCCGAGGACAGATACTAATGATTGGGGAACACTGCAAATGACAGTCAGTGGAAAAAAATCATTGACAGAGGCAAAGTTTTTTAGAATTTAAAAAGCATAAACATCAAATTCATTCAAATTATTAGAGTTTGGGTCTATAATTAGCTACGATATCTTTGTAGTATTACTAAATGAAAACGTACAAGTCGTATCTGAAATAAACTTACGATATTCTTGAGCATTTAATATTGATATTGACGATTGATTAAGAAATAGAAAAATAGAATTTGAATAAGATTCAATAAAAACTGTACTAATATTTGAACGAAATAATTGACAAGTTTGATTCGTAGAAAAGTAATTTAAAGCTGATATTAAATCATTTACTTTTATCATTTCACATATACATTGATTTTCTGTCACATTGAATAAGCTCTTATACATATCACCAACTATTATATAACTCTGTACTTTACCAGTTAGAATAGAATTACATACAAAAAATAACGATAAAATAAATATTAGCCAGAACATGTTGTACTTCTTTATAGTTTTTAAAATATTTTATGAATGTTTAACTAACTTTCATTACTATTTTTTTTTCTTTTATTTTCTACAATACTCTTTCTCTGTAATTTAATAATTATTAATTGCAGGAAAAAAAAGCGTCATACATTGTGCCACAGGTTGTTTTTCAAAAAAAGTACATCTTTGACTACACTATGTTATTGTTGTTGCTTCAACTATTTAGAGGATTGAATGCGTTACCATTGAGATAAGAAAAAAGAAAAAAGGTATGAATAATGTTTTTCTTAAAATTATTCTGTTTTTAATTAAATTGTCTTCTTAAAGCAGAAATCAAATATCACATTAGAAAGAAAAAAATGGTAATGTTAACGCATGACTTCATCTACATGCTCAGGAAACAAATTTGTCCGTAGAGAAAAAATTGCTTCTGCTTATTTCATATATATTTAATGCAGGCATCGACAACAATAGAGATAAATATATAAATTCTATTGTTTTTCATTGTTTTTCTCGATCACATTGAATAATATCTTCTTCATTTCTTTTATATGACAATTCAATGTACAAAATTTCGCTCTGAATCAATATTCTATCAAATGTTATTGTTTTTCTTACGATGTTTTCCAAGTAAAAAACTACTGTAATTAAATTTTATTCAATCGTATAAAGATTAACTTTTGGCTGAAAGCATATAACACCGTTTCTTATGAAGATAGATAATTTTTCGATTATTGATGAGTTTTCTTGGTTATAACCCAATGAATTCATTCCAAAAAAAACTATATACACTGATTAGTATTTTAACTGGAGAAGTTTCAGCTAAAATAGTGTCCATACTATAATAATTATTTTTATAAAGGAAGTTGATACTTGTTATAAACATCACTCATAACATACACCTAACTACCTTGCTTTAATTATCTTTCCTCCTATGGATGCAATACTCGCTTCGTTTGACTTTAAACAAATACTATTTCTTT